CCTCATCCCTGGTGGGCTTCATCCTCATCTTCATCCTCATCCCTGGTGGGCTTCATCCTCATCTTCATCCCCATCCCTGGTGGTCCCTGTGTCCATCCTTGGTGGGTCTTGTGGCCATCCCTGGTGGGCTTCATCCCTCCTGGTCCTCATCCTCATCCCTGGTGGGTTTCATCCTCATCTTCATCCCCATCCCTGGTGGGCTTCATCCTCATCTTCATCCTCATCCCTGGTGGGCCTCGTCCTCATCCTTGGTGTCCTCATCCCTCCTGGTCTTCATCCCCATCCCTGGTGGTCCTTGAGTCCATCCCTGGTGGGTCTTGTATCCATCCCTGATGGGCTTTATCCCTCCTGGTCCTCATTCTCATCTTCATCCTCATCCCTCCTGGTCCTCATCCTCATCCCCATCCCTGGTGGGCCTCATCCTCATCCTTGGTGTCCTCAACCTTCCTGATCTTCATCCCCATCCCTGGTGGTCCCTGTGTCCATCCCTGGTGGGACTCATCCCTCCTGCTGGTGTCCTCCCGGAACTGCTCCAGCACCGGCACCAGCGGCACCAGCTCCTGCATCTTCTCCTGGAGCTCCTGGAGGGGTTGGGGGTCCAAAAGAAACAAGGGGAGTGGGAAGGGAATGATGAGCCCACCAAGGAGGGGGAACCAAAAAGTCAAGGCCAAGGTGGTTCTGGAGGGGTTGGTGGGGCTGGTGGTCGTTCCTGGGGGTCCTTGTGTGCATCCCTGGTGGGCTTCATCCTCATCTTCATCCCCATCCCTGGTGGGCTTCATCCTCATCTTCATCCTTATCCCTGGTGGGCTTCATCCTCATCTTCATCCTTATCCCTGGTGGGCCTCATCCCCATCCTTGGTGTCCCCATCCCTCCTGGTCCTCATCCCCATCCCTGGTAGTCCCTGTGTCCATCCTTGGTGGGTCTCGTGTCCATCCCTGGTGGGCCTCATCCCTCCTGGTCCTCATCTCCATCCCTGGTGGGCCTTATCATCCTGATCCTCATTCTCATCCCCCCTGGTCCTCATACTCATCTTCATCCCCATCCCTGGTGGTCCCTGTGTCCATCCTTGGTGGGTCTTGTGGCCATCCCTGGTGGGCTTCATCCCTCCTGGTCCTCATCCTCAGCTTCATCCTCATCTTCATCCTCATCCCTCCTGGTCCTCATCGTCATCCTCATCCCCCTCATCCCTGGTGGGCTTCATCCTCATCTTCAGCCTCATCCCTGGTGGGCTTCATCCTCATCTTCATCCCCATCCCTGGTGGGCTTCATCCTCATCCCTGGTGGTCCTTGTGTCCATCCCTCCTGCTCCTCATCCTGGGACCCCCACGAGGACCCTCAGCCCAGGAACCCTCCCCCAGGTGATGTTTGACCCCAGGACCCCCCACCCACCCCACCCAAGAGGTCCCAGGGGCCACGGGGAAGGTCCCACCTGGAAGCTCCTGGCGTTGAGGCTCCTCTGGGTCTCAGCCACCTTCAGCCTGGAGTCCAGGCCCCTCAGCAGAGACTCCGTGTTCCTCACGTACTGGAGGTCCCGGAAGGTCCTGAGATCCAGAACTTCCATGGACTGGGAGATGTTCTGAACGGTGGGGGGA